CGCCTTTGGCAGCACACCTCCGCACCCTCCCAGTGCGTTTACAATGCTATCTAGATGACATATTAATAATGTCTTCTTTTCAGAGCACAACAGGATCTGCAGGTTACTATTTCGGTTCTGCAGAACCCGTCATTTTCCATTAATCAGAAAAAGAGTCATTTCTCTCCTACTAAACGTCTCCTTCATTTGGGGGCCATTATTGTCAAGGGAGTGTGTCAAGTGTTTCTCTCTCATGAGTATCTGATTGGCATTCAAAGATGATTAAGAGCGTTCAGACTAAAAGTTCAGTCCTGTTAGACCTTCTTTCTCAGGTGTTGGGCAAGATGATTTCCTGTATTGGAATTGTTCCCTGGGTCAGGCTTCATGCCAGGCCCCTTCAGTGATTTTTGCTTCCCTTTCAGAAAGCGGGGTCCAGTCATTCCCCCAGGAAAGTCAAGTTGTCTAAACAAGTGTTACTTTCCTTCCATTGGTGGATGTCCAGGGCCATGTCCAAGGGTCAGTCTTTCAAGCTGGAATCTTGTCTGGTCCTTTCTACAGATGCTTCCCTATCTGGTTGGGGTGCCTATCTAGGTTCCCTCTGGGCCCAAGGGTTATGGTCTCCACAGGAACAGGCTCACACATCAATTGGCTAGAGCTCAGGGCTGTTTGTTTAGCCCTGAAGAAGTTTCTCGGCCAGGTGTCGTGGTCCAACGTCCTGGTCATGATGGACAATGTGGCCACTAAGGCCCACATCAATAGACAGGATGGTACCAGGTCCCGGTCCCTTATGGTGGAGGCAGAATCTCTGATTACGTGGGCGGAACGACACCTTCATTCGATCAGAGCTGAGCACATTTATGGGTCTGATAATACACAGTCAGATTTGCTCAGCAGAATGACCATTGACCATGAAGATTGGCAATTGCATCCTTCCCTATTTTGTCAGATCTCCCGCAATTTTGGATTGCCAGTTGTAGATCTATTTGCCTCATCCCTTAATGCCTAACTTCCCAGGTATTATACGAGGTTTTTCTCCCAGGGTGCAGAAGGCACTAATGCAACTGGCCTTCAGGGCTGCTCTACACTTTTCCGCCATTGCCACTAATCCCAGCAGTGATTCATAAGCTCTTGTTGGAGCGGGCCAAGATCATATTGGTGGCTCCCTTTTGACCTCGCAGGCATTGGATTGTTGATTTGATGGGCCTTTCAGTGATCCCCCCCTTGGCAGATTCCTGAGGAGGATATCTCTATTCTCCAGGGGTCCTTGTCTCACTTGGAATCCCAGTGGTTGCAACTGGCAGTGTGGAGATTGAGTGGGGCATCTTAAAAGGAGCCCAACTCTCAACACTCTCCACAGGCAGGTGTCAGCCATATCATCAGTTTTGTCAGGTGGGAAGCTGGAATCTTTGGCTCAGCATCCTACGGTTAGTAGGTTCCTCAGAGGGGCTATCAACCTTTGCCCTCCTATGGTACATAGGTACCCTACTTGGGACTTGACCAAGGTTTTGCAGTCCCTCACAAGGCCTCCTTTTGAGACATTTCGACAATTTAGTCTTCATCTTCTTACTCAAAAGGTGGTTTTCCTTGTGGCAATCACTTCAGCGAGGAGAGTCTCGGAATTGGTTGCTCTCTTGGTCTGCCCAGACCTCTGCATTTTCCATCCTCATTGGGTGGTTTTACGATTGGACCCAGCCTTCATTCCAAAGGTCAACACATCTTTCCATAGAGCTCAGGAGCTGGTACTCCCGGATTTCTGTCCTCATCCAGTCCATGAGTTAGAAAATACTTGGCACACCCTGGATGTGCGCAGAGCCTTAAAAATTTACATTAAACATACTGCTGCTTTCCGTAGGACGGAGCCTTTCTTTTGTTCTTTCCAGTCATCCTCATTGGGGGGTAAGGTTTCTCCATCTACAGTGAGTAGATGGATCAAGGCTTGTATTGCTCGGGCCTACTCCAGCAGGGCCCTGCCAGTTCCCAGGGGCATAACAGCCCATTCCACCTGTAGCGCAGCTACGACAGTGGCATGGGCTACACAGGCATTGGTAGAGGAGATCTGCAGGGCTGCTACCTGGACTTCACCTTCGCCTTTCATCCATCACTATCGCCTGTATTCCTTTGCATCAGCAGATGCGGCGTTTGGTAGATGGGTCCTCCAAAGGGTCGCTTCGGACCATGCCAGTTAGAACCAGTCTTAACCCTCCCGAGGACAACCCGGCTTTGAAATGTCCCATCCTGACCTGTCGATGCCTTACAAGAGAAAATGGGCATTGTTTTTCTGAATACCACTTTTTCTTGTAGGCGAAACAGGTCAGCCCCACCCTTGGGTTGGTTCCTTCCTGGGACCATGGGGGGGGGGGGAGTCCTTCTAACTTTCTTGTTTCTTTTTCCTTCATTAGAGGCAACCCAGTCTGTCGCATGAACTTTGCATAAACTGGGGAGGAGTCACCCAGAGTGGGAGGAGCTAGGCTAATATGCCTTTTGAACAGACTCAGTCCTAAGCAGATAAGGAAGAGTACTACCCCATCCTGACCTGTCTCGCCGACAAGGAAAAGTGGCATTCAGGTAAACAACGCCCATTCTACAAATCCTTGTACCCATTTTACAGCATCTTCCAATCTTCAGGATTTTTTCTGTATACCACAGAATTATTGGAGAAACAGGCTACTGAAAAATTGTTTGGCCAAAGCACATCAAATTTGATTTTCATAACATATGATCAGCATCTGTTCTGCTCATTTTCTATGTGGCACATGAAGTTCTCTGCTAGTAGATACATTTATCTGTAAAGGAAGTAGCAGTTGTTTAAATACTTCCCTCAGGAGAAAATATGATGAAGTATGTGATCAGATCATGACTTTAAATTTAGTAACAATCTAGTCATAAACAAATATTTAGCTACAGTGGTGGTCAAAAGTAAAGTGCCAACTCATCAGTATTTTTTACTAAATGTAACATAACATAATATATTATTTACTTATTAGAGTTCAAAAAAGGAACTGAAACATTTTTATATAACATTTCCTTTGGATATTTTTATCCAAAAATATGGATAAATAGCTTTGTTCAATTTATACACCGTGTTAGCCATTTTACTTTTACACCCTGGTGCTTGAACCATGTAAATTTCTTCCTCTAATTCTGCATTGAGGAATGCAGTGGTTATTTCAAAATGCCAATTTTTATGGCCATGTGCCGCTGCCAACACAAGTGCAAGTCTGATGCTTTCACTCTTTACAGTTGGCACAACTGTAGTGCACATTTTCATAGTGCACATTTTTCATCTGTAAAAACCCTTGTGCCACTAATCTTGGTTTATATTGTACCTCATTATTGGGCAGTACTTTTTTCTTGTATACCCACTTGCATCCTACAGCTTTGCTACCATGTGGCAAAGTCATAGATGTAAACACTTCATGTTCTCCCATGAGTTTCATTTCCTTGTCCATGGCTTCTTTCCATTTTACTTGTTCAAATTTAGATAATGCCAATACTTCCTTATAGTTCCTTGGCTCATACTATACATTACACGTGTTAACTTTACTAGCAGAATATCTGGCAGGTGGAATCAGGGGTGGGATTCAAATTTCTTAACAACCGGTTATGCAAGTGAGGCCTAATTTGTGGGTGTGGCTTGGTGGTCATGTGACTGGCTGGGCATGGCTTGCTGACTGGGCATGGCTTGGAGGTCATGTGACTGGCTGAGCGTGGCTTGTATGTAAATATTATAAATATTTATATAAATATTGAATTTTTTTATAAAAAAAGAGCAACTTTTACCCCAAATTAGGCAAAGCAGACAGGCAGATTGAGTTGCTCACAGAATCACAGATTCATTCAGAGATCTATCTTTCTGCCATCGGCTTCCTGAGTCTGTCACATAAAATTTGCTAGCAAGCAAACTCACAAAGTTAACTCACAACACACTATCTATGTAAATATTGATATATTTTTTTAAAAAAGAGCAACTTTTACCCCAAATTAGGCAAAACAGGCAGGCAGATTGAATTGCTCACAGAATCAGATTCATTCAGATATCTATCTTTCTGCCATTGGCTACCTGAGTCTCACATAAAACTTGCTTGCAAGCAAACTCACAAAATTAACTCACAACACACTATCTATGTAAATATTGATTTATTTATTTTTATAAAAGAGCAACTTTTACCCAAAATAAGGCAAAGCAGGCAGGCAGATTGAGTTGCTCACAGAATCACAGATTCACTTAGAGATCTGTGTTTCTGCCATCTGCTACCTGAGTCTGCACTGAATAATAGAAGCTTCAGGCTCAGCTCCAATGATTTCTTGCTTTCTAGCTAATCTAAATCTCTCGGCACAGCAGAACAGCTGATGGTCAGGGGGGAAGGAAAGATAGTAACTTAGCAGGCAAGTTTGATGGTGTGCATACTAGGTAAGGAGTGAGTGAGCAGGGCTCCTTTCTTCTAACTGCTTTTGGAATATGCATCCATGCATTGCTTCCAAACACCCTTAAATGTCCCAGAGATGGTTTTCTCCCATATAGCACTGCATATACAGTATCATTAATGGAGGAATTTCACAGCCTATTAATTAAATAATTAGCAGTCAATATGGCTTTACCCCAATATGACCTGCTCAGTCATATGATGACTGATCCTATGATCCTCCAGCAGTGAGTCCTTCATGGTTTTCAAGACTCCATTTCGCTTCTCAGCAACACCATTCTTAGCTGCTGTGTACAGATTTGTGAATCTGTGTTTTATTCTTAACTGTCCCAACCACTGTTGAAAACTTGTTGACATGAATTCTGAACCTCTTCAGTTTGCAGCTGACATATCTGTTTATACCTTCTTTCTACAAAGCTTACTCATCGCTTACATTTCTGCAGGATCTCTATTTTACTCTTCAGTAAATAGCAGAACCCAAACCTGCTGTAGTTATCTACTATAATGACCAGTGCATACTTTGCTTCTTTTAGCCGTGGTTCTGTGAATCCTAGGTAAGAAATTGAAAACAGGTAGGTTTGTATTCTTTATATATAGTAATAATTCAGACCAATCATTTTGTTTCTAGTACAGTAACCGGCAAGCAGTGTTAAACTGAACAAGGTTAGCACTGAAAACAATCATCTTTCAGTGTAATTTATCCTTTCACCCCACCCACCTAATCGCTGTCTATTTCCGCCCTGCATTTGTGTCCCAATTACCCTATGAACACTATAATTCTATGGTCTACATCGCATACTAACTAAGCCACGATTCCCAACTACCCCTTACTTCTCCCATTCCTGCAGTTGCTCTCTCTTGATTTATTTACCCACCCTGCCAAAAGCTGTCTTTATGAATTTATTAGTATGATGTTCCTCTTCGTTAATACTGCATTGCCGATTGTAGGGCCAAAATACATTGGACCATTCCCAGTAGTACGAGTTATAAATCCTGTTACAGTTGGTCTTCGACTTCCTTCTCATTTTAAAAGAATGCACCCCGTATTTCATATCAGTCTCCTGAAACCTGCGGATATGACAAGACAAGAACCTAGATTGCACACCTCAGGACCGGTCTGTGATGACCATTACGAGATAGATGAAATACTCGATTCTCATCATAGACATGGACTACTACAATATCTGGTTTGGTGGACAGGTTATCCATTAGTGGATGTATCATGGATACCACATACCAATGTATCTGCGTCTTGTTTACGATGACAATTCCATATGAAATACCACACGAAAGCGGGTGGGAGGGATGAAGTAAGATTTATACATAATAATAATCATGATCTTTCTGTTACAGAAGGAACAATGGTAGAGGGGGCCGCCTGTCAGGCTTCAAAGATCCTGCCAACCTGTCCTATGGTGTGAAGCCCAAGATCCTCCACTCCTGCAGTTCCCATTCCGGCTCGACCTGTCAATCCCTTATCGGCATGACCATCTGACAGGGACTGGTTTATCACTCCTCTCCTTCTCAATTTAACAAGACGAGACACGACAGCTCAATGGGACGGAACAGCGGGGTGAAATAGTTCACTGAGAAAGAACAGTTAGTTAAGATGAGGCTCAGGGTTTTGTAACATGTGTTGCTCGGGGGAGGGGAATAGTTTTCAGCTATTCAAAGCTCCGCATTGTTTTGGGTTGCAGTTTAGACACAAATGGGAAGGAAGGGTGGGGGGAGCAGTCAGAGATGGGTGAGAGAGAGTTGTGGGCGTGATTAGTGTCTGATATTAGTCGCGTTTAGCATTGTGGGTGGAGGTGAGCAGGGTTAATGGGAGGGCAGATGTTCTCAGCGCTGGCTTTACTTGGGATTGCCGTTGTTTCCATGTTTGGAAGAAACGAGTTATAATAAATGCATCTATCCACAAAGAACTGTGAGTAACGTGGTTTATTGCCAGAGTTTCTACGATTCTAAACGGAGGCTGACAGAAAGCCAGCGCTTCACTTTCCAATCCAGCAGTCACTCCTTTTGCCTATGTTCTTGCTCCTTTTTCCCCTTATAACCATGGCTATGGTCACTTAACTGTACCTCTCTTTGACTCTTAGTTGTTTTAGGCTTTACTACTGGTGGCGCTGTCAATGGCACGTCCTCCTTCTTTGCTCCCACAGTCTGTTGTTCCTGGCCATCCCCACCATCGTCTTCAGCCACTTCGGTACCTTCTTCCACCATCCATTCTGGATCTGTGCCCTCTTTCCGATGAGTGATTGGTAAACTCCCTTCATTACCAGAGAGCTTATTGATACATATATTCAAAGAAAGATTGGACCCTAAACTAAATCAGGCTTGCCTATATAGAGGTTCGTATGCTACATTGACCGATTGGTATCGGGTGGTGATAGAATTAGATGATGGCTTACATTGGTTGAGACTGAGGCTGGAAGGATTTATACAACCACGAAAGTTTATAGGTTCGGTTACAAAGCTGCAACCCAGAATGGTCCCGGCGCAAAATAGTAGGGGAACATTTTAAGATCAGTAGTGTTAAAATATTGTCATGATGTTAAACAGGCAGGACATTATGGGTTTCTGAAAACACTACATTTAGCAAAATGACAATTTTGGTGGCCAGGTATGAGGTTAAATATAGAGAATTATGTGAAATCCTGTCCTATTTGTGTAATAAATAAAACTAAAATTTGAAAGCTAGCATGTTTGTATTGTATGTAATGAAGTGTTTGTATTCCCCCCTCATCAATCTAAACTAGTCAGCATGAAGATGTCATCTGGTAGCAATGTTTGTTTTCATTTCGTCTCCCTCAAGCCCTTAATCTTCCAATGCTGTCAAGCAAGTCGTTTCACGAAGCCCAACAGCTCCTCCCAAACTGGTTGCATTGGCCTTACCAAATCTGCATGTACCAGCTCTAGATCTCTTGTTGTCGGCCTTGTGCTACTTTTGCTTACTGGGAATGCCTTGGACTTTGATGATTTGCATACTACACAATCCAAATATGCCTTACATCCCTTTACATGCAACCCTTCTGCATACTGTTCCATCTTTTGCAAAACTTTGAAGCTCGCATGGCCAAGCTTTCTGTGCAAGTGATGAACACATGAATCATGCTTTGCCACATTTCCAAATGTCTGTGCACACTGAACATTTTGTCCCTGCAACATATAAAGGTTACCTTGTTTTATGTCTTTTGCACACACTTTGCCATATCTCTTTATGATACACTGCCCATTTACAAGTATGGTCTCAAATCCTTGCTTGTCTAAACTAGCAAATTATGTTCCATTTCAAGCACACACAAAACATAATTGAACCTTGTTTCCAGATATGGAATTTGCACATTGCTACTTCCAATGACTTTAGCCTTTTGGCATTCACCAAGGCTACTGCATCTCCTGCAGCTGTATCCATCCTGTAAAACAATGTACAATTTTTAACAATTGTTTGACTAGCCCCACTGTCATTTAACCATTGATCTCTAGTATTATAATTGCTGGCTTTTGCCACAGCAACTTGACCATCTGCTGATTTTCTTCCTTGCAAACTGCTTCTGTCTTGCAAATAATTCCTTCCTTGCTAAAAGTTGTTCCTTTGCAAACAGTCCTTTTTTAGGTGTGTCTGTTCTCCACAGATAAACAGCACCTCTGTTGGTGGGCTGTAATCTGATTTTTTCTGCTGCTTTTCTCTTTGGAGACAGCCAGTCTGTGGAATTTTTCATTCTGCTTATCTTTCTTCTCTTTGGGCCCCTTCCTCAGGAAGTTTTCCTTGAGGCTACGAAAATGGCATTTGTTTTCTTCAGCAATCAGACATGCTTTCAATGCCTCCAAATGCAATTCCTGCTCTGGTTTTCATTCAAATATTGCAGAAACAATGTCACATGAGTCATCTAGTCTGTTCAAAACCCACAGCACTTTCTGAGATTCAGGAATCGGCATTCCACGCTGTTCTAACTCCAAAAACAACATTTGTATATTTACTGAATGCTGCTCCAGATATTCTCCTGGTTTCAGATGGGCTCTGTATAACTTTTTTGATAATTGCACACTTCTTAACTTCAGCCAGATTTCCTTTGCAGTCTTTAAATCAGCTACATTGATAAACTTTTCATCTTTTAAACTTAAGATGATATAAGCCATTGCTTTATCATGCTGCCTCTGATCTGCAGCAGCCAATAGTCCTTGGAGTGGGTTTTCAACAATATCCCACAGTTCCTTAGCTTTCAGGAAACATTCCATCTTTGCAGCCCAAATTATATAATTCTTCTGACCCAAACGAGGTAGAGAGCTCTCCTTAATTTTCTCAGCCATCCTGCAAAGCTTTCCTCTGCCAACACAGGCAGACTCTCTCAGCTTAAATTACAATTAAGTCTTCCGTGTGTTCTGGGCCCATTAACCTGTTAGATTTTGTAGCAGAAATTCAAATCCAGAAAGCACACACAGATGACTGAATCAGTAGGATTCATTAACTTCTTTATATATATAATAATATGAGTAAAATGTACAATACCAATAGTAGATTCTTCCAATGTAAGCAAAACACAAGCAGCAGTTTCAGAGTTCAGAGCAGAGAGGTTAGGTTTAGAGGAGAGACTAGAGTCTACTTCTAGTTTTACTTTCCAATTCAGCTCCCATTGGCTGGTCTGTTGCCATGGCTGTTCATTGGCTGACTTTGTTACTAAGCTTTACTCCAGTTTATGAATATACTCTGACAGTATTAATAACCTAGATAAAAATAAATGAGGTATCATGACTTGAAACAAGAAATAATACATGATAATATTTATCCAAAATAATAAATAAGTAATGGAATAGACAGACTGTAATAAAGTTACAACTTCCAGTTTCTGTGGAATGTGCCCTTTTAAATATAATATAAGGATTCCTACAACAATTTTATTATTAGATATCTACAAAATAAAAAAAATGTTTAGGTTACTTTCATGTAATGAATTCTACAACTGCTTTAACATCGCCTGTAACTGATAATTTGAGAAGCAATTAAAATTCTACTCCTCTATGAATATCAAAACCCAATTCTAATAATGCTTTCCTTAATCAAAATATGTAATTTTATTCACATAATCTTCAAATAAAATCTGCCTAGGATTTAAGAATTTCCAAGTATTCACCAAGCATGATAACTCTGAAAGGGAACCATCTTTGATTTCATGCCACTTGATATATGATGTCGTGAGGACAATTACAAGCTTGGATCAATAGCGTTTACTGGTATACAATAATAATAATAATAATAATAATAATAATAATAATAATAATAATAATAATAATAATAATAATAATAATAATAATA